TGCACTACTTTCGGTTTCTCTTAGATTGTAAGCTCCCAGGATCAGGCCCTCCTTTCCCTCTTGTATTGAACTGTATTGTTGCTGTATTGTCTCCCGTTTTATTGTAAAGCACTGAGCAAACTGTTGGTGCTATATAAATCCTGTATAATAATAATTTAACATGGTTTCCTATGGGACATATTCACATCTATGCATTTTTTAGCTGCTGTGTTTTTGGAATGGGTCAGGGACTTTTTTAAAATGCAAAAAGCAGCATCAAACACACTTGTGTAAAAATGCAAAGCACAATGCAAAAAGCATTGCAAAAGTAAACTGTATTGGTGTGAACCAGGCCTAAAACTGGAGCACTCAAAATCTGGTGCAGCTGTGCATGCTAGCCAGTCAGCTTCTAACTTCATCTTGTTAATTTAAGCTTTGACAATAAAGCCTGGAAGTTGATTGGTTTCTGTTTACAGCTGCACCAGATTTTGCATCATGCAATTTTAGTAAATAACCCCCCATCGTTATTATATCTAGCTTTTGCTTTATTTGTTCTTGTGTTACTATGAAGATGCTCACTCTAGTTAATATACTATATTGCCAAAAGTATTGGGACAGCCCTCCAAATCATTGGATTCAGGTGTTCCAAACACCTCCATGGCCACAGATGTATAAAATCAAGCCCCTAGGCATGCAGACTGCTTCTACAAACATTTGTGAAAGAATGGGTCGCTCTCAGGAGCTCAGTGAATTCAAGTACCATGATAGGTTGCCATCTGTGCAATAAGTCCATCTGTGAAATTTCCTTGCTACTAAATATTCCACGGTCAACTGTTAGTGGTATTATAACAAAGTGGAAGCAACTGGGAATAACAGCAATTTGGCCATGAAGTGGTAGGCCACAGAGCGGGGTCAGCACATGCTGAAGCACACCGTGCACAGAAGTCGCCAACTGTCTGCAGAGTCAATAGCTACAGACCTCCAAACGTCGTGTGGCCTTCAGATTAGCACAACAGTGCGTAGAGAGCTTTATGGAATGGGTTTCCATGGATGTGTCTGGGTTTGGCGGTTGCCAGGAGAACGATACTTGCCTGACTGCATTATGCAAATGTAAAGTTTGGTGGAGAGGGGATTATAGTGTGGGGTTGTTTTTCAGGGGTTGGACTTGGCCCTTTAGTTCCAGTGAAGGGAACTCTTAAGGCGTCAGCATACCAAGACATTTTGAACAATTTCATGCTTCTAACTTTGTGGGAACAGTTTGAGGATGGCCTATTCCTGTTCCAACATGACTGCACACCAGTGCACAAAGCAAGGTCCATAAAGACATGGATGAGCAAGTTTGGGGTGGAGGCCTTTAAAGTTCCTCCACCCCAGAGTCCTGACCTCAACCCAATAGAACGCCTTTGGGATGAATTAAGAGTAGAGACTATGAGCCAGGCCTTCTTGTCCATCATCCATGCCTGACCACAAATGCACTTCTGAAGAATGGTCAAACATTCCCATAGACACACTCCTAAACCTTGTGGACAGTCTTCTCAGAAGAGTTGAAGCTGGTATAGCTCCAAAGGGTGGGCCAACGCAATATTGAACTTTACGGACTTAGACTGGGGTGCAATTAAAGTTCATGTTCGTGTAAAGGCAGGCGTCCCAATACTTTTGGCAATACAGTATACCTGTAAATTGAAGCATGAATGACAGGCCAGTAGGGTAATGCCACCTTTAATTGTAATATCAAGTGCTTCAGTTTACAGTAAAGTTATATATTAATAGAAATTTTAATTTAGGTAAATTCACTTTTCTGTAATATTGCTTTTCTCAGCTTCTTTTGTATGGACAGCTTTTATAAATATATCCAAATATTAACATGGTTTAAAAAGGGAAGAAGTTACAGCATATGTCCACCCAGGTTAATCTTTTAGATCCTTTCCAGTTTAAGGGACAGTTCACACCCGAATGCTGCATGAGAAATCCACATTCCGTGTACGTTTTCCCACACTGTGTTCAAAACACTTTACACTTCATTTAGCAGTGGGTGTCAGTGTTAACTTAGTCATTCTAAAACAGAAAACATTTTTTACCTGCATTAAAGTAAAATATGAGCAGACATCAGAATCGCTCCCCCTCACCCCCCAACACATGCAGTCAGCGCTTCATGAACAGTATGTAGCCTCAGTTTCATACAGTATACAGTGTTGTGTTCCGACAGCAGTACGGGGACTTTGTGTTCTGTTTTCAGAATAAAATGGTATCGTGCTGAGGGACTACTCAGCTCTTCACTGGAAGCTTTTTTTTTTTTTTTTTTTTTTTTTTTTTTTGAATACGAACTTTTCTCTCATTGGCTGAGGCGGAGATTGTGACTTCATCCACCCTTCTTTTTGCTTCAGCCAATCAGAGGCAGCCCTTTTCATTTCAAAATATAAAGTTTCCTCTGAATGCTGAGCAGTTCTCAGCATGACTCGATTTTGTTCCAAAACTCAGCACTGTACTGTATGTAGCAGAGGCAACATACAGTTCATATGATGCCAACAGCCGGTGCATATATTCATAAAGCAAATAGTTCATTTGTATCAGCTTGGTCCAAACTAACTGTTTTAAAGTTCACTAAAACATGAAGTTAGGTTTTAAAGGCCAAGTTCACCTTTAAAAAAAATAAATAAATAAAAATAATAAATGCACATATTTTTGCAGTTTTTAGAGCCTGCAGAGCATTGCACCTACCATTAATAGATAGCAGGTGCAATGCCATGCTCCTGCACCCTCTCAGTATAGGTGCCTGTTGGTACAGGCAGACAGTTACTGAAGAGTTGGAAGATTAGTGAGCCACTCACAAGCATCCTTCCAGTTTATTGAGATCTACAAACTGTCTGCTGGCAGAATGTAGTTGTAGTTCTGTCATTTCATAGATCGCTGTGAATGAATGACGTGGAGGCATGGCTCTGTACAGTCACACTTTTTTTTTTTTTTTTTTTTAATTGTGACAGCGGGTGTGGGGAGAAAAATCCCCACCCAATGTCATGAGGGGGGAACGGGTGTGGGGAGAAGAACCCCCACCCAAGGTCAAAGCGGGGATCAGAGTGTTGCAGGCAGGTGTTCTTTGGTAATATGATACATGATACAACACAAATACAGGTGTAACATGAGGCCAAAGGTGAACTTACCCTTAAAAGGCATTGCACACTTTCAATCATTTTTCTTGTTTTACAGTTTACTACTTGCCATTCTGTGTAATGACTGGCTCACACATTGTGGCTGCAGTTTGTAGGGTCATGGCTAATCAATTCCCCTACATCCATAGTTTGCAAGCCTGTCCCTAATTGCCGAAGGGATAAAACAGTTTCCTGTTCCAGGTCACAACGTCCAATGCATGTGTTACCATCCATTCTGTCACATCACAAATGTGGGAGTCCTAATGTAATAAGAAAAAACATTCCAGCTGCATGGTGAGCGCTGCCTTTCTGTGAATGCTCTGCCTGTTTGAGTCTTTGATATAATTAGCTCTGACCGGCACCAGCATTTGACTGAGAGACCCTGGGACTGTGGGATATGTACCGTAGTTTCTTCACAGGAAAATGCAGTTCTCATTTCTACAGACAGAGGTCATACTTTAATCTGTGAAGTTCCGCATGCCTCGTATTTCTGTAGAAACTGGATCGTGTGTATAAGGCATCAAAATGACACCATGAAACTACATCAGTGCGCATTTTATGCAGGTGAAAAACGGTGCAGGTAGGAAGGGTTATTTAGCCTTTTAAGGTGACCTCAGCCAAACTGAAAAGACCAAAATTTGACTTTCTACAAATCATCCCTGGTGATCTCTCCCTAATATTTCAATACTGTATCTGTATAATGATCTTTGGGAGATTGAATGTGAAGCTACACCCCTACCTGGAAAAGCAGAATCACGTATTTTTTTTATATATATATATATATATATATATATGATTCTGCACAGAGCGACCGCCCTGTAGCTGTAAAAATTGCTACAAGGCAGTTGGCACGTGAATATTCTAATGTCTATGCATTTTACATGTTTGTTTTTATGTATATCAACAGACTGGATCTTTTCATGATGGAAGTATGATTTAAGCTTTACGGGGGGAGGAAAAATGTCAGAAGGGCATGGCCTAAGGGTTGGGGACTGTGTCAAAAGCCAGCTATACACAATAAACTTCCCAGCGGGATTTTCATGGAGTGCAGTCTCATTTTCCAATGTAGTTCTATTCATTGGTCTAGATATACGCTTGTGACCTGAACCCAGAGCAGTTTACATCCTGAGAGGCTGTTTTAGAAGCTTGGAGCAATGCAGTTTTTCTTTTAGCCCCCCACATGTTGCTGCTTTGTGCAGATATTTGACAGATGATCAGCAATGAAAATCAGCCACTGGGAAAATCAATTACTACTTACATAACATAAGCATTCACAAAGCAAATAGCAGCAGATTGGTTGGTTTATAGAACAAATCAATATATCAGGTATTTCTGTCTAGGGACTCCTGCAGTGTACTGATTTCCTCTTGCACTTGGCAATGGTACCATTCAACCAATATAGAGAAAATGCTTGAGAACTTGATTTAGTTGTTGTTGGTAGTCTGCACACCACCATATTCTGCGTGCAGAGCCCTGTGACAGATTGTATATGTGCTGAAATTACTGTATGTATGAAAGTATGAAGTGGGGATAAATGTGTATAAATGACTTTTGACTAGTAAAAAGTAAATGGGCATGGTATTGACACAGCTCCAAATGAAACACATTGGCTCACAATTGATATGATCCAGAAATATTTAAGCAGAATAAAGGTGAATAAAGCATCTGGACCAGATGGCATACACCCACGGTCCTTAAAGCCATTGTTTCTAATTTTTAGGGACTCTTTAATGACTGGCATAATACCACTGGATTGGCGTAAGGCCAATATTTAAAAAGGGGTCAGAATCTTTACCAAGTAATTTATAGACCTGTTAGTTTAACATCTGTATTTGGGAAGATACTGGAGAGTTTAATAAAAGACCACATAGATTACTTCTTGCTGGAAAAAATATATATTAAGCCAGGGCTTGAAATTTCCACTCGCCTGCTAGCCAATGGCTAGTGGAAATTATGGTGGGGCGAGTGTGTCCCCCAGGGCCGTCTTGCTGAGCAGGCTCAGAGATCAGGCCGGATCTGTCATTGGCACTGGGAGCCGTCACACTGCTCAATAGCTGAGCGCAGTGAAAGCAAAGCAAGGAGTGTGTGCTGTGCTCTGTCTCCCCCTAGAGTGCAGTACCCGGATCTGTGAGTGAACAACGAAGTACTGCAACGTCTTATGGGTGTGTATGTATGTGTGTGTGTGTGTGTGTGTGTGTGTTTGTGTGTCTGTGTATGCATGTACAATTGTACATGTGTTTGCATGTACATGTGTTTGTGTGTGTGTACATGTGTCTGTGCGTGTGTATTTCTGTGTATGTACATGTATCTGTGTGTGTGTACATGTGTCTGTGCGTGTGTGTACAGGTGTCTCCGTTTTTGTGTGTGTGTTTGTTGGTGGTGAGTAACTCTAAGGCCTGGCTAGAAATTTTAAGTCCTGAGACAGCATGGATTAATGAAAGACAGAAGTTGTCAAACTAATCTAATATTGAGGAGGTGAGCAAAAACCTTGGACAGAGGGGTGGCGGTAGACGTGGTATACTTGGATTTTGCAAAAGCGTTTGACACCGTTCTCCACACACTGCTAATGTGTAAGGTAAAAGTCTACAGGTTGGAAAAATCCATATGTTAATGGATAGAATACTGGCTAAAAGTTCGTATTCAGAGAGTAGTGGTTAATGATTCATACAGTTAATGGTCTAGGGTTGTCAGTGGTGTACCCCAAGGTTCAGTGTTGGGACCCTTACTTTTTAATATATTTATAAATTATATAGGGTCTGGGATTAAAAATACCATTTCAGTCTTTGCAGATGATACCAAGCTGTGCAGTGGAATAACGTCCTTACAGGATGTCTTCAATTTACAAGCCAACCTCAATGTACTGTTTAATTGGGCAACTATGTGGCAAATGAGGTTTAATGTTGATAAATGTAAGGTTATGCACTTGGGGGCTAAGAATATGCATGCATCATACATACTAGGGGGGTACAACTGGGGGAATCAATGGTGGAGAAGGATCGGGGGGTTCTGGTAGATCACAAGCTTAATAATGGCATGCAATGCCAAGCTGCGGTTTCTAAAGCGAGCAAAATCTTCTCTTGTATTAAAAGAGGTATAAACTCCAGAGAGAGATATCATATTACCCCTGTACAAATCATTAGTAACACCTCATCTGGAATAGTTGCAGTTCAGTTTTGGGCACCAATTCACAAAAAGAACATTGGGGAACTGGAGAAAGTACAGAGAAGGGCAACCAAACTGATAAAAGGCATGGAGGAGATCAGCTATGAGGAAAGATTAGAGGAACTGAATTTATTCTCTCTTGAGAAGAGGAGATTAAGGGGGATATGATCAACATGTATAAATACATCAGTGGTTCATATAGTGAACTCGGTGTAGAGCTATTCACCCTGAGGTCATCACAGAGGACAAGGGAGCACTCTTTACATCTGGAGGAAAAGAAATGTAATCGCCAAATACGGAAAGGTGTCTTCAGAGTAAGATATGTGGAATAGACTCCCTCAAGAGTTGGTTCTGGCCAGCTCAGTTGATTGCTTTTTAAAAGGAAAAAAAAGGCCTGGATTCCGTTCTTGGATACACAGAATATAACTGGATACTAACATTTATAGATAAAGTTGACCCAGGGAATATCCGATTACCTCTCGGAGGATCAGAAAATAATTATTTCCTCCTGTAGCAGCAAATTGCATCATGCTTTGCTGGGTTTTTTTTGCCTTCCTCTGGATCAACTGGGGGTATAGGATAACTTCTTTTTTTTTTTTTTTTTCTTTTTTTTTTTTTAATGGTTGAACTGGATGGACTTTTTTGTCTTTTTTCAGCCAGACGATGTAACTATGTAATAACCAACTGTGATCATCAACACAATCACACTCCCCACCTAATTCCAGAATACTATTAAATACCTCTTTGTTGCTTGCTGAACACAAACAGTGGATTCCACCTCACTGTCTAAATATATTAACAAATTACTAGTGCATTGCAGCTCTCTAAATTGATAATTGTTTTTAGAAGATATGTCACTGCGACTGAGGAGTTGAGTACACCCAGATGAGCGCATATTTTCTTTTCTTGAGGTGAGCAGGTTTTTCACCTGGTGTGGTGCTGGATCACTGAATATTAATAGAGAAGAAGATATTCATGGAACTGATACATGTGACTGAGGGGATTGTTTATGGACTCTTTAGTTTATCACTTTTTATATGTTTTTCACAGGAGTATTTTAATTAATAATTGTTAGAAAACAGAGTTGCGCTGCACTAGTAATTTGTGAATGTAACTATGTAAGAAAAGGGGCATCATTCCACCCACTGATGCCCACAATGGGACACTACTCCTCTGAATGATGCCAATGGGGTGCAATTCCTCACATTAAAAC